TGTTTTTGAGGTTCGGTGTTTGTGGTTTGCTGTTCGGGGTTTGGTGTTTGGGAATTGGGGCTTGGGGTTTGGTGCGTGGGGCTTGAGGTTGGTGCGTGGTGTGTTGGGTGTTGGTATGTGTGTGTTCTTTTGGGGGAAAATCCTGCAAAGGTCTCACCCGGAGCACCAACCGATTCGGCATTTGGCCACGTTCACCTGGATAATCAACCGATTTCTGGGGAACCAGCCCTGTTCCTGGAGAGCCAAGTTTTGCTCCCTGGCGCCGGGTTCGCCCCTCCGGCGCCAGGCTGTTGGCTTTCAACGAGCGCGCGCCATTAACGGCAAAGTGCCTACTCGCAGGCGTCCGAACAAGACACAGCTGTGCTCCTATGCAGTCGATCGTAGATCCCCCCGCGGCAGATCCGGACCCTTGCGAGTAGCTGCCCTGCGAGTAGTGGAACGCGCTTGTCTAGGGCGGGGGCTCTAATGCCTCAGCGGAGGAAACAGGCGGCTCAGGGTCAGGAGGGGAAAAAACACACAGGCACAATTCATCGTCGATTCCCAAGAAAATACGGGAAAGTATGGGGGTTGGGGGGGAAGACAACAACCCAACAAATATGGGAGAACATGGGGAATTCTTCTATTTCTGTGCGTATTTATTTGTGTGTCCCAGGGCCCCTTCATCAGGGGCTGACACTGCACGTGTCCGCCGGAGAGCCTCGTCGAGGCCATGGGCGCTGGGAGCCCCTGGGTGCCTTCTCCGCTCCCTGCCGCAGTCGGTGGCCGCGCCTGCGCGCCGGCACCGGGTTTGGCCAGGGCCGGTGCAGGTGCACAGCTGGCTTGCGCCTGCTCTGGCCGACTTTCTCTCTCTCTCTCTCTCTCTCTCCTTCACCTCCTCCTCCTCCTCCTCCTCCTCCTCTTCCTCCTTCTCCTCCTCCTCCTCCTCCTCCTCCCTTCTCCTCCCTCCTCCTCCTCCTCCTCCTTCTCCTCCTTCACCTCCTTCCTCCCTCCTCATCCTCCCCCTGTCGTCCCTTCTCCTCCTCCGTCCCCCCCTCCCCCTCTGTCTCATCTCCGTCCCTTCTCCGTGCCCCCATTCTCACCCCCCCTTTGGAAGAGGGGGCCTAGTGCAAGATAGGACAGATCGCGCAGCATGTCACAAGAAACCAGATTGTGTCTTGGATGGCGGGGTATAGCGTTCCTGGGCGAGGCTTCGCAGTTGAACTTGGCTGTAGGACGCGCAGACCACAACGCCACAGGGGCATCTTCTCTCGAGACGTGCCACGGGAGCTGTGGACCCACCCTCCTGGACGATGCAAACGACGCTTCTGAGAAACTCCCGGCATCTGGCTCGGATTGCACCCTCAGCGCACGCACTCCGGAGCGAGACGCTCTGTTTTTTGTTCCGCCTCGGTGGCTGGCCGGGGTGCCGCCCGGTCTCCTGCAGCAGTACCCCTGGCCTCCTCGAGGGGCTGCTGGTAAACGCCTTCTGGAGGCAAGCATCCTGCCTGCCATCGTCTGCTAACCTCAAGGTTGTCCGCGGTGGAATCGAGCGGTCCGTGAGACCACATGAGTCGAGCCAGGATTGCCATCGACTTTCCACGATGAGCATTTAGGCTAGGGGCCCACACGCAAAACGGAGGAGAAGGAGGCGGGGGAGCAGGACATGGGGGGGAGCAGGAGGAAGGGGGAGGATGACAGGAATGGAGGGAAGATGAACGGAGAACGAGGAGGAGAAAAGGAACATTTGAGGAAGGAGGAGGAGGAGGAGGAGGAGGAGGAGGAGGAGGAGGAGGAGGAGGAGGAGGAGGAGGAGGAAGAGGAGCATCAGGAGGAGGTGGAAGATAAGGAGATCGAGGAAAAGGAGGAGGATGAAGGGGTTGGCGCAAGCGGTAGCGGCGGCGGCCGCGCCGCCAGGGTGCCGCTGGGGGCCCCCCATCCCGCAGCCCGAGTTCGGCCAGCGGCTTTGCTGGCGGCTTCGGCGCCGGTTTTGGCGTCGGGGACGCGGAGGCCGGTTTGATTTTCTCGGTCATTCGCGACGGGTTCGGCGGCGGCGTCGGCGCAGGCGGCGGCGGCGGCGGTCGGCGGCCGCAGCGACGTGGACGACGAGGACGACGACGGGGGTTAGGATGAGGATGATGGAAAGGACTGCGAGGAAGAGGGGAGGGACATTATTCAAAGGCTGGCACCGCACCGCCGACCCCTTCGTCATCCTTCAGCAAGGTCTTCGAACGCGACCTGCTTGGTCGACGTCCGAGGAAGCGAGGTCACGGAGATCTGGCGCTACAGGGCGATCGGTGTCATGCGCTTGGAGGCGCGCTGCATCGCCAGGCAGCTGCCCTCGTGGAGGCAGCCGGCGGAGCTGCCAGCCAGGACGCTGGCCGCCGCGTCGTCCAACAGGCCAGCGCGAGGCAGCCTCATGCAGCACATGGCGAGGCCCACGTCGGCAGGGCTGCAGGTCAGAGTGCCCGACGCGCGGGCGGCAGGAAGCCGGCGCGCTCCGGGCGGCGGTGCGCGTCAAGCGAAGAGGAGGCCCAGGGGCATGCAAGGGGGAGGAGGTTTCATCGACGGGGTGGAGAAGGACGAGAAGGAGGACGATGATGAAATGCTGGGAGGGCAAGGAGGACCGAGGGACGCGAAGAAGAAGAAGAAGAAGAAGAAGAAGAAGAAGAAGAAGACGAATAAGAAGAAGCTCGGAGGGCGCCGACCAGAATCGACCTCCAAGGCCACTGCGGATCTTGTGTGAGACGTAGGCCTCTTGGGGGTATCATGAGGTCATTTGTGGATTTGGGGGGAGGGCGTCTCGGGTCGTCTTCGGGCGCCTTTGAGCCGCATGATGCTTTCGGAGGCCGTTCCGGAGGGCCTTTTCGAGGCCGTCTTGGAAGGCCCTTGGGCCACTTTGGAGCCCCCCTGGACTGTCTTGGGGCCATTTGGGGGCCTATTGGGCCCTTTTGGGCCGTCCAAGAATGGGACGATTTGTGTTTCTAAGGGCTCTTTCGGGAGTCCTCTTGGACCCATTGGAGGTGTCGGGATGGCTTCTTGGGGTTGTCAGCAGGCCCTCCTGGGGCGTCTTTGGGCCGCCACGTCGAGGCCGTCCGAGGCCGTCTGCGGGCCCTGCCCTCCTGGTGGAATTCGACCAATCCAGCCAGCCCCCCCCCTCCAAGCCGTCTGGGCCGAGTTCCCGAGGGAAGGGTTGGGGTAGGGGCAAGTATCGCACGCGCCGAGCAACCTCCAATGGGTCGGCGGATCAGGGGAACTCCCCATCCCGCTCTCAACTTCTCCTAGCCCTTCCCCCCCTCGACGCCGTCCCCTCTCCCGTCCCTTTCGTTCAGATTCATCCTCGTCCTCCTTCTGCTCGCCGATGGCTCATCCTGCGCGACTCGACGTCCTGCCCCTGCGTCGGGGTGGCGGGGCCGAGAAGGCCAAGAAGGCCAAGAGGGACCCGATCGACATGCTGATCAAGAGTATGGGTAAGATGGTGGTATTCATCGAGTGCAGGACGGCCATCATGGAGAGTGTGGCCTGCCACTCCGTTTCCGTGGGCGAGGGCCAGGAGTCGCTTGGCCAGGCGTGCATCGGATGCAGCAAGCAGTACGACGTCAACTCGAAGGCCATGAACGAACAAGAAATTCTTCACGCTTCGCGTATCCCCACCAGCCCATCTCAAAACAGCAACTCTTGCGAAGCATGCCGACAGTCGTGTTTTTCAGGCGTGTTTCCGCCTGCCCCCGCATATCTCCCCTGTTCCTCCTTCCTCCCGCCTCCTTGTACATCCTCCTTGTGGTGGGAGCGGGAGAAGGACGAGGCGGAGGAGAAGGGAGAGAAAGCGCTCCTCGTGGTTTGAGTCGTTTGGGGTTTCTCGTCCTGGTGTGAGTCGTTCGGGCCCTTCTTCCTGGTGTGAGTCGTTCGGGCTCTTCGTGGTGTGAGTCGTTCGGGCTCTTCGTCCTGGTGTGAGTCGTTCGGGCTTCTCGTGGTGTGAGTTGTTCGGGCCCCTCGTCCTGGTGTGAGTCGTTCGGGCCCCTCCTCCTGGTGTGACTCGTTCGGGCTCCTCGTGGTGTGAGTCGTTCGGGGCCCTCGTCGTGGTGTGAGTCGTTCGGGCTCCTCGTGGTGTGAGTCGTTCGGGCGCCTCGTCCTGGTGTGAGTCGTTCGGGCCCCTCCTTCTGGTGTGAGTCGTTCGGGCTCTTCGTGGTGTGAGTCGTTCGGGCCCCTCGTCCTGGTGTGAGTCGTTCGGGCTCCTCGTGGGGCCTCTTGGGGGACTCTTGGAGCCTCTTGGGGCCTCTTGGGGGCCTCTTGGGGGCCTCTTGGGGGCCTCTTGGGGGCCTCTTGGGGCCTCTTGAGGCCTCTTGGGGGCCTCTTGGGGGCCTCTTGGGGGCCTCTGGGGGCCGCTGGGGGGCCTCTGGGGGGCCTCTGGGAGGCCTCTTGGGAGCCTCCTGGGAGCCTCTGGAGGCCATCTTGGGGCCTCTTGCGACTTCCTCAGAAGCGCCAATGAGAGCTGCCCCCTGAAAAGAACAAAATGAGCCCAAAACCTTCGTAAAAGCAATGATTTTGCTATGAAGGAAGATGAGCGCGGACCCCTCAGAACGCCAAAAATGGGGCCAACACCATCGTAAAATCAATGATTTTGGCTTCAAAGAAGCGCAGAGGGGCCAAACTGTGCTCCCCCGTCGGGGCCAGAATCCTCGTGAGGGTCGTCGTTTTTTTGGCCTTCCCAGGAGTCGGAAAAGACCCCTCCAACGACCCGCGGGACCCCCTCTCCAGGTCCAGGGGGAGGGGGTAGGGGGAGGGGTAAACCCCTCCCCGAAGGGGAAGAAGGGGGTTGGGGGATTGAGAACAGAGAAAGCTCGCTAAACCACTCACGCCCAAAGGGCTGGTGGGATTAGGCTAATAAACCGACTGGAACTGCCGAGGTCCGCCGTCCGTCGCCCTGTACGTTCGCACCGCCCAGCGGGGCCCTCGGCAAGACGTCGCCGAGCGGCGACCCCCCCGGCACGGGCAGGGGAACGGGGCGCCCGGCGAGTTCTGGACGGCCGTGGTCGACAAGCAGCATCCCCAGCAGTTTGTTTTCTTCGTGCTCCAGTGCACGTGCAAGAATGGGAGGTCCCAGCTTGGCCCTCCACCTTCAGGACCTCGAGGGGCCTCGGACGTCGTGACCCAGGCTGGTGGAAAAGATGACGTCGGCGGAAAAACAGCAGCCTCAGGGCCCGCCCCGACAGGCCAGAGGGGTGGATCGGTTCTCGGAGCAAGTAGTAGTCGTCGCGAGCCAGCAGTAGCTATTTGACCTTCAGGATCGCCCGAGATCCGGGCAGGCCGTGCGTGAATCAGGCATTGTTGTGACCCGCGCCGCCGTGCCCCACGGAACTCAAGTTTTCCCGGTCATCCTGTGGTGGTGGGTTTTCGTTGAATCAGCAGCGCGTTGCGGTCAGCGTCAGCACGATCCCCATCATTGGGCACTGTTCGGCCTCCCGGACGCCTCTGGGGGCCATGGTGGGGCACTCTTGGGGGCCCTGGAGGCCATGTCGGCAATCTTGGAGAAGCGCGGTCAGAGAAGGGGATACTCGAGCAGGTCCCCTCTCGGCAGCTCCTAATATCGCGTTTTGGGCCCCTCTTGGGGGGCGCTCCTGGAACGTTCTTGGAACGCGCTGGCGAGCGCCTTGGGACCCTCTTGGTCTCCTCCTGGGGCTCTCGTGGGCCTTCGAAGTGTTACTGCGAGAAGGCAACATACATTGATGTTTCTTTGGCTGTTGACAGATTTGGCACCTGGGTGGCTTCCTCGGGAAGCTCCTTGGCCACTTGGAGCCGACTTGGGGCAGTCTTGGGGCTTCGTGGAGCATATAAGCCATCTTGGTCTCTTTGGAACCCTATTGGACCCATCTTGGGCCATTCGCGGACGCTCCAAGGGCCCGCGGCCCCTCCCCTCCAGACCCACTGGGAGAGGGTAGGGGAATTGGACAAGCTGCCCGCCCGCCCGCAAGCCGTCTAGCTCACTCCCACCAGCCCTCCCAACACAAAATTAACACCCGAGCCTGAGCATGTTCAGCGGTCCGCGTGACGCTTGGGCGAGGTGCGCCACGCGTGCCAGGGGCGCCACGCGCGCTGGGCACCCCTGGGGCCCGAGCGTGCCAGGCACGCCTGGTGCGCCAGATGTGGCACGTGCTCCGAGTGCGCCAGGTGTGCCGCACACTCCAGCCGCGCCAGGTGCGCCATGTTCGGGGCACGTGCAGAGTGCGTCAGGTGCGCCTGCGCACGTGACAGCACACATCGGGAAACATGTCGGCCCCCGCCATGTTTGTCGAAATCCAATGCCCATCATTGTGTCTGGTGGGCCTGCGCACAGCAGGCCACGCGCCACCAGCCCCGCGGCCCCTGTCGAAAACAATTTGACAGTGATCGCGGGATGGCCGCGCATGATCCAGATTTAGCCGCGAGGTGCATGTTGTATTGTTTTTGTCAGGGATGGTAGCCCTGCGCACGGCAGGGAATAGGCTGGCATCCCGCCGTTCCTGTCAAAAATAATACAAAGTTTTCGCGGGCCTCACGAAGATGACTGAAGACTTTGCCCCAAAGTGTACTTTGCATTGTTTTTTGACAGGGGTGGTGTAGGCGGGGGGGGGGGCGCATCGGGTTGACCGCGCATGCTCCAAATGTGGAGGCAGAGTGCGGTTTGTATAGTTTTTTGACAGTGCTGGTGGGGGCTGGGTCGTCATGGTGTCCTCACGGTTCCTGGTTGGACGCCGGTCCCCTGGGGGAGGGGATGTTTATATTGAGAAGGGGCACGCGTGTCAAGGATCATACAATCACGGATGCGGGACAATTGGCGGTGGAGATGGCGCCAATCAGTGGTAGTTTCGGGGAAGCACGCGAGTGCTGCGACACGCTGGCGAATGACCAGAACGGGGGAGCGGCGAATAGCATCACAGCTGCGTGGACGCAGGGTCAGGTTCGATCCGAAGGCGATCTTAATATGACGGGAGAGGTTTGCGAGACTTCAACGGCGTGTTCTATAATGCAGACCATCTGTATAAAGCGAAACGCTTGGTCCCAATAGGGGGCGCGATGGTATGCGTGGCCAAGATCTGCCACTGTGTCTTCAGCGCGTTGTGGAGTGCTTCATGGCTCATGCAGCCCTGAGAGGCAGGGGGGGCGCTTGGTTCTTAAGGGCCGGGGCCCTTGGTTCCCCAAGCGTTTTTGCGCGCTCTTGCGCGGGCCCGGGGTGCGACGCGCGGTCTTTTGGGGCGCCGCGAGGACCCGAAGACGGGCCAAGCGGGCCCCCAGAGACCCCCAAGACGGCGGAAAAGGGCCCCGAGTCGTCGAACGATCGGCCCAGGACGCCCAAGATGGCCTCCAGACGGCCCGAGATGCCCCCAAGACGCCCCGAAAGGCCTTCAAGAAACCTTTGGAGAGGGCTCCATGAAACACAACTAATACCGTAGCGCCTCGCAGCTGCGGATGAGAGTGAGGGGGCGGTGGCGTCGTCGGCTGCTTTGCGAGACTCTGGGGAAGCCCGCCGCAGGCGCCAAAGTTTTCACACATTATACAACGAGCCCGCCGCAGGCGCCGATTTTTCCGCTAAGCCAATGTGAGTAGGTCGCGGGTGGGTCGCAAATGGGTCGCGGGTGGGTTGCTGTTGGGTCGCGGGTGGGTCGCAGGTGGGTCGCGAGTGGATCGCGTGTGGGTCGCGGGGTGTGTCGCAGGTGGGTCGCAATTGGGTCGCGGGTGGGTCGCGGGTGGGTCGCGGGGTGGGTCGCGGGTGAGTCGCGGCGTGGGTCGCGGGGTGTGTCGCGGCGCGAGTCGCGGGGTGGGCCGCGGGGTGGGTCGCAGGGTGGGTCGCGGGTGGGCCGCGGGTTGGACGACGTCAACAAACAGCAACAACAGCAGCAGCAACAACAACAACAACGCAACAATCATAATCTTCACCACGGATCGACACTTCAGCCACTCACCCAGGGACAATGAATGACCATTCGGCTTCTCATTCTGATATGATTGATAAGTTATTGATCTATTGTTCGCTCTTGGGAGCCTTGGTGCGAAGAACTACTCACGTCATTGTGAACTCGTCGGAACCATGGTGTAAAGTGGCGCCACGGTCGGTCGGTCGGAATAGGCAGAGGGGCGGCCACGAAAGGAATGAGGGGGGCGCGGCGGGGGCACGGTCGGGCAGGGGGGGCACGGCCAGTCGGTCGGAATAAGCAGAGGGGGGGGCCACGGAGGGAAAGCGGGGGGAACACGGGGGGCCACAGTCGCGCGCGGGGGGGCGGCACGGTCGGTCGGTCGGAATAAGCAGAGGGGGTGGGCCCGGGGGGTGCGGGGGGGACACGGGGTGCCACAGTTGAGCAAAGGGGGGCGCGGTCCTCCGGTCGGAATGAGCAAAGGGAGGGGCACGGGGGGGAGGGGGAGGGCACGGCTGGGCACGGTCGGGCAGGCGGACGGGGGTGCACGGACGGGCAAGGAGGGGTGGCACGGTCGGTCGGTCAGTCGAAATAATAAGCAGACGGGCCATGGGGCGGAGGGGCGTGGGGGGGCACGGTCGGTCGGTCGGTCGGTCGGAATAAGCAGATGGGGTGCCGCGGGGCGGAGGGGTGCGGGGGGAGCAGGGGGCGGGAGGGCACGGTCGGGCAGGGGGGGGGTGGCAGTGCCGGTCGGTCGGTCGGAACAAGCGGATGGGGGCCACGGGGCGGAAGGGGGCGGGGGGGAAGGGAGACGGGGCACGGTCGGTCGGCCGGTCGGAATAAGCAGACGGGGGCCACGGTCCAGAAGGGTTCGGGGGGGAGCAGGAGGACGGAAGGGCACGGTCGGGCAAGGGGTGGGCACGGTCGGTCGGTCGGTCGGAATACGCAGATGGGGGCCACGGGGCGGAGGGGTGCTCCCAGCACACGGAAGCAGCACACATCCCAGTACGTGTCCTGGCACACGGAGGCAGCACACAGCCCTGCACACACTCCAGCACACGAAGGCAACACACGTCCCAACACACGCCCCAGCACACATTCCAGCACACATCCCAGTCCGGCGCACTTCCCAGGCACGGTCGGTCGGTCGGTCGAAATATTGCAGTGCGAGCTCACACAGGTATGTGTGATACTATGGAACAGTGATAGACCCCTCCCTGAAGGAAAAATGAGAAAACGGAAGGAGAAACCTACCAAACCACATCCGCACAGACTGGTGGGACTCCTCCGCCCCCCCATCTCCCAGAAGCAGGAAAATGACAGGGCTCGTGCTCGCCCCATCGGATGTGTCCGAAGAGGAGCAGGGCAATCTTCCTGTTCCTCCTCCTCGTCCTCCTCCTCATCCTCCTCCTCCCCCTCCTCCTCCTCCTCCTCCTCCTCCTCCTCCTCCTCCTCCTCCACCTCTTCATCCTCCCCCTCCTCATCCTCCCCGCCGTCCTCCCCCATGATTGCGCACTTCGTATCGTGAAACTGGTTACCCTAACCAGGCTTGGCTGGGACACTTGTCCAGGTTTGCCGCAGGTTTGGTGGTTGGTTGGGGTTGGTTACCAGCTTGTTGGGCCAGGCGGCTCGCAGGGGCAACGATTGGGGTGGACCAGCCCAGAGGGGGGAAGCATCGGGTTCCTATCGCCCATGCTTCGCTGATCGGCGCCTGGGTTCCCCGCCCCAGCCTGCCTGGGATTGCTAGGTTTCGCCAGCGAGAGCGTACCGGCGGTGCATCGCCGATTCCAAGTCAATGCCCCCCCCCCCATGAGCCAGACCTCTCTATCGCTCCTCCCTCTTCAGGTTTTTGGATCGGTAACTCATTCAATGTCGCAACATCGTTTTACCAGCCCTCCCTGCAAGGTGCTCGCGGCCGCGACCCGTTCTGGCGATTCGGTCCCCCCTTATGGCCTTTGGGCCCTCGCCTCGCTAGTTCGCCCCCCTCTCGGGCCCCGTCCATCGGTCTGTTCTCGTGGCTTTGCGTCCTGTGCTTTCAGGCAGCTGAGGCTTGACGCCAGCCCACGTCACGAAATCATCCCCCGCCCTCCCCCACACCTCACTGTCCGCTTTCCTCGCCCTCGTAATGCTTTGCCCCCCCCTCCCCCCACCATTCCCGCCCTTCGAGGAGGAGGAGGAGAAGCAGGAGGAGCAGGAGCAGGAGCAGGAGCAGGAGGAGGAGGAGGAGGAGGAGGAGGAGGAGGAGGAAGGAGGAGGAGGAGAGGAGGATGAGGAGGAGGAGGGGGAGGAGGAGGAGGAGCACCAGTGGACGAGGAGGCGGAGGAGGAGGCGGAGGACGAGGAGAAGGGAGGAGGGGAGGTGGAGGAGGAGGAGGAGGAGGATGGTAGGAGGAGGAGGGAGGAGAGGAGGAGGAGGAGGAAGGAGGAGGAGGAGGAGGCTGAGGAGGAGGAGGAGAGGAGGAGGCGAGGAGGGGAGGAGGAGGAGGAGGAGGGAGGAGGAGGAGCAGAGGAGGAAGGGGGGGGGAGGAGGAGGAGGAGGAGGAGGCGGAGGAGGAGGAGGAGGAGCAGGAGGAGGAGGAGGAGGAGGAGGAGGAGGAGGAGGAGGAGGAGGAGGAGGAGAGGAGGAGGAGCAGGAGCAGAGGAGGAGGAGGAGGAGGAGGAGGAGGAGGATGGGGAGGAGGAGAGAGGAGGAGGAGGATGGAGGTGAAGGAGGGAGTGAAGGAGGAGTGGGGGGGGAGGAGGAGGAGGAGGAGGAGGAGGTGGAGGAGGAGGAGGAGGAGGAGGAGGTGGAGGAGGAGGAGGGAGGGAGGAGGAGGAAGAGGAGGAGCAGGAGGAGGAGGAGGAGGAGGAGGAGCAGGAGGAGGAGGAGGAGGAGGAGGAGGAGGAGGAGGAGGAGGAGAGGCGGAGGAGGAGGAGGAGGAGGGCGAGAGCGAGGAGGCCGCCGGCCGCCACTTTCCCCCCGCGCCCTGCGCCGACGAGGGCTCGCAGCGGCCGCCCGGCCCGCCCGCTCGCGAGCCGCCGCCTGCCAGCGGCGGCCCAGGCCGCCGCGAGGGCGACGGCGCCGCTGGCCGCGGCAGCGACGGCGCGGCAGGCGCCCACGCCCCTGCTGGACAGCGCACGCTGCACGTCAGAGGAGGAAAGGGTCCCCGTACCTCTACCCTTCGCCCGTTTTCCCCTTTTTAGGCCTCGTGGGAGGCCCTCGTCGCCACCGCTGGATTCGCCTCGAAATCCTGGTCAGAACGCACCCCGGGAGAGGTCCGGGGAGTAGCGGTATCGCACGCTGCACGGGGGGTTGGGGGCATTGCTCCCTTCCTCCTCCCTTCTTCCTCCCTCCTCTTCCTCTCTCCGCTCTCCTCCTCCTCCTCATCTCTCCTTTCTCCTTCCGCTTCCTTCCTCCCTCCCTTCTCCTGGCCATGCGGTCTCGGGTGACTGCTTGGCTGATGGGCCCACTCGCGCACCTGCGCCTCTTTCTCTCACTGCTCTGTCTCGGTGGTTGTCACATCCGCTGGCGCAGGGTCGACAGGCACGCCTCGCGACGGACTCCCGCGTCAGCAGAGTTGGGTTGCGCACCGTGCCTCTGAAGGAACGGCAGCCCTGGACGTCCAACGGCCCTCGAGCACCTTCTTTCTCCCGCCCCCCCCCCTCCCCTCTCTCTCCCAACGCCCGAGCACGCCTCGCACTGCACGCCGCCCAGACAGGCCAGCCCACCGTGGCCGCGCCTGGTCTCGGCCAGGCCCAGACGCGGTCCGCAGCCGGGGGGGCGCTCGCCCGCCCCCCCTCCGCAAGGCGGCCGCTGGGGCCGGCCCGCGGGGAGCCTCTGCGAGGGCGACGGCGCCGCCGGGCACGCGGGCAGCGAGCGGAGGCTCGACGCCGCGGGCGCGGACGAGAGCGCGAGCCCAGGCGCCGCGGGGGCGCCGCCTCGCCGTCGCCCCCGCAGTGGTCGGCGTCGCCGTCGCCGCCGCCGCCGCAGCCGCTGCCAGCGGCGTCGCTGCCGCGGCCGTGGCCTCCCTGTTCGTCGCCGTCGTCGTCGATCGAGGATCGCTATTCGAGGCTCGACCCTCGGGGGTGCTCTCGCTGTCTTTGCGCGTTCTGGGCCGAGGGGTCGTCGCCCTCCTCACCACGGCTGGATCCGCCTCGGAATTCGGGGTCCGGAGGTGGCCGCCAGCGCGTTGCCGCAGTCTCGGGTCGGACGGAACAGGGGGGCCTTGAGAGGGGGAGCGTGGCATTTGATGCATGCAGCTGGTATCGGCTCCATCGCCATGCCCGTTCCTCGAAACGTTGACCGCCTCTGGCTCCAGGGGAAAACCAGCTGCATGCAGCTGATTTGCTAACCCCTCCCATCTCCCCTCTTCGCTATCCCGAGTTTTCGTCCGTCCCGCTCGTCGTCGGCGTCGCCGTCGGCGTCGCCGTCTCTCCCTGCTCCCATGCTCTCCCGCTCTTGATCCCCCAAGAGGAGCAGGCAGAGAGGGAGGGGGCGAGGGAGGAGCGTGGAGTGGAGGTGGAGGGGAGGGGGCAAACTCGAGCCACGAGAGAGGGTACTCAAAAGTGGATGCTGCTTGATCTCCCGCGTTCGTGCCGTATATAGCTCCGAGTCTGGCCCCACAATTCAGTCGGGAATTGGGGTCGAAGTATCCCCCGTTATTCTGCGTCCTCCTCCTCGTGCTCCTCCTCCTGCTCCTGCTCCTCCATGCTCCTGCTCCTGCTCCTGCTCCTGCTCCTCCTCGCTTCCAGCCCCCCCTCCTGCTCCTGCTCCTGCTCCTCCTCCTGCTCCTGCTCCTCCCTCCCCCCACCCATCCCCCCCTGCTGTTGGTGGTGCGGTCGGCAGCCCCGCCGCCAGGCCACTCGGCAGGCAGCGGGGCACCGGGCGCCCCGAGCCAGACCTCGGACCCCGAGGACCAGCGGCGCCTCCTCCTCCTCCTCCTCCTCCTCCTCCTGTTCCTCCTGCTCCTGCTCCCTCCTCCTCCTCCTCCTCCTCCTCCTCCTCCTCCTGCTCCTCCTCCTCCTCCTCCTCCTCCTCCTCCTCCTCCTCCTTCCCCTCTTCCTCCTCCTCCTCCTCCTCCTCCTCCTCCTCCTCCTCCTCCTCCTCCTCCTGGAGGGCAGGGGAGGGGGGAGAGCAGGAGGTGGGAGAGAGGGTGGTGGGAGAGAGGGGGGGGCCAGGTAGGTGCGCTCGCTTCATGTACCAGTGCACCCAGAACCAGTGGACGTGCCCTGGAGGAGGGAGGGGGGAGCGACCCGGGAACGGAGAGGCAGGAGGTGGAGGAGGAGGACCAGCGTAAACCCATCATGCAAACAATGTTGCAATCCACCGTCCCTCCAAGTTCCCTCTTCATAGGTCCCTGCAAGACTTGTTTCTCTTGCGGGAAGTGCGTAATCGAAAGTCAACCGTCTGAGAACGCCGATAATCTGTTGCGTCCAGGCAATCCAAAGTCGCGTTGAACATCATTCCTGAGATTCGAAATCGTGCCGCCCTCCATTTGCGAGTTTGGTGCACATTTCAAGTTTCAGGATCACTCATGATGAGGAAGTCGCAGGTGGAACGCCCAGCCCGCCCTTCTGATACGTCTTGGGGTGCGACAGGGGGACGTCATTTATGAGGAGACGGGAGGGACGAGGAGGCAGCGGAGACATCGGATTCAGAGGAACACGAGGGCGGGAGGAGTGGGAGGGAGGGTCGTCGTCGTGGTCGTCCCCTACGGATGTTATGCCACTGGGGACCCAGGACCTTGTGCTCCTCAGCGAGGCCGCGGCGCCCACCCCCAGCGGGAGCAGCAGCGGCAGCGTCAGCGGCGGGCACTCGGCCAACGACGGCGGCTTGCACCTTCAGGAGGGAAGCGGCCGGCCTTGCTCGTCGTCGCCGTCGGACGAGGAGGAAGAGGGGGGGAGGAGGAGGAGGAGGAGGAGGAGGAGGAGGAGGAGGAGAGAATTTGGAGGAGGAGGAGGAGGAGGGCTGTGCTCCGGGGCATCAACCTCGATGGCGCTTCACATCGCGGGAAATCGCGGGGGGGGAGGAGGAGGAGGAGGAGGAGGAGGAGGAGGAGTGGAGGAGGGAGGAGGGATGAGGGAGGAGGGAGGAGGGAGGAGGAAGGGAGGAGGAGGACAGCAGGAGGAGGAGGAGGAGGAGGGAGGAGGGAGGAGGAGGGAGGAGGGAGAAGGGAGGAGGGAGGAGGGAGGAGGAGGGAGGGGGGAGGAGGGAGGAGGAGGGAGGATAGGAAGGGGAACGGGAGGCGGACGACGACGAGAAGAAGGAGGATTAGTGCGAGAGTAAGCCAAGTTTGCATTCACGATTCTGCAGTACTACACCCTCCTTTTTTAACTCCCTGTATCAGAGGTTCCTCAAGTTTTGTTCTTCTCACCACTTTACCACACTAAGCGCCTCTAGGAAAACACGAGCACACCATTTGCCTGCCAATCGGGCGAGAGGCTCGTTTTGAAAATGACTTGCTTTGACTCCTTCTCGGGAGTTCTTATGAACGCAAAATCTAGGACCGTAAAGTTCAACGGTGTTTCCAACGAGGCGGCAGGGCTGAGCGGGTCGGGGGAGGGGAGAGGAGGAGCAGGGGATGGTCTGGGGGAGATGTGTGGAGTGGAGTGGCCCACGAGAGGGGGCGGAGGAGAGCGGGCCTGCCCGCGGCGGCCTTGCCGCCCAGAGAAGCGCAGCTGCCACCCCAGGGCAGGGAAAAGTTCGGTCCGGCCGCTCCCGGAGTCCGGAACGATCCCGTGCGGGCGGACGTTCGGCCAGCCCTGCTATTCGGGGGCTCCCAAACGGGGTGGTCGCCACACCGTGTGGTGCGTCGGTGGGGATTCGGGGTCGCCGCACGGTTTTGGGGCTCGGGTCCCTCTCCGAGGATGCCACGGGCGACAGGGGCCTCCAGGGTCCCAAGACCGTGCGGTGACGGGCCGTGCGGTGAGGTCTCTTGGTGTTCCGAGGTCACCGCACGGTCTGTCACCACACGGTTTTGGGATCCCCAAGCTGTGCACCCTTGCGCGGCCGAGTCGAGGCCTGCTCCGACCCGATCCGGTTGCGCGGCTCGATGCGGGCCGCTCCTGCTGCTCCTGCGCGCGGCGGCGAGGACGGCGCCGCGGGCGCCGACGGCTCGCGAGAGGTGCCGGGCTTACCCTCCGCCGCCGACGAGGCGCCGCGGCGGCCGCGGCGCCGCGCCGAGCGCCCGGGGGGATCGGGGGGAGCGCAGCTCGCCTGCTTGGAGGCGGGCAGCTTGGCCTCCTGCAGTCGGCCCGGATTGGTAGGTCGACCCTGCCGAGTCAAGGGCACTCTTGTGTCCTGTGTTTACCAGCCTGGAACATATCCCTATCCCTATGCTGGGCACCTCCTCATCACGATGCCAATCTTAGGGATTCCCTTATTCCCAACCATCCTGTGGTGTTGGGTCCTCGTTTTGAAGAGACGGTGCCCCGCGTTCTCCTTCCTTCCTTCCTTCCTTCCTTCCTCCCGCTGCCTCCTCCCCCCTCACCCAATTCGGCACACCCCTCACACGTTTCGCGGCTCCATAGGGAGCTCCACCGAAGGCCCCAGTGGCCGCGGCCGCATGCGTCACCCACACCCATTTCGGCACACCCCTCACACGTTTCGTGGCTCCATAGGGAGCTCCACCGAAGGCCCCAGTGCCCGCGCCCGCATGCGTCACCCACACCCATTTCGGCACACCCCTCACACGTTTCGTGGCTCCATAGGGAGCTCCACCGAAGGCCCCAGTGCCCGCGCCCGCATGCGTCACCCACACCCATTTCGGCACACCCCTCACACGTTTCGTGGCTCCATAGGGAGCTCCACCGAAGGCCCCAGTGCCCGCGCCGCATGCGTCACCCACACCCATTTCGGCACACCCCTCACACGTTTCGTGGCTCCATAGGGAGCTCCACCGAAGGCCCCAGTGCCCGCGGCCGCATGCGTCCCCCACACCCATTTCGGCACACCCCTCACACGTTTCGTGGCTCCATTGGGAGCTCCACCGAAGGCCCCAGTGCCCGCGGCCGCATGCGTCCCCCACACCCATTTCGGCACACCCCTCACACGTTTCGTGGCTCCATAGGGAGCTCCACCGAAGGCCCCGGTGCCCGCGGCCGCATGCGTCCCCCACACCCATTTCGGCTCCACCGAAGGCCCCAGTGCCCGCGGCCGCATGCGTCCCCCACACCCATTTCGGCACACCCCTCACACGTTTCGTGGCTCCATAGGGAGCTCCACCGAAGGCCCCAGTGCCCGCGGCCGCATGCGTCCCCCACACCCATTTCGGCACACCCCTCACACGTTTCGTGGCTCCAGGGAGCTCCACCGAAGGCCCCAGTGCCCGCGGCCGCATGCGTCCCCCACACCCATTTCGGCACACCCCTCACACGTTTCGTGGCTCCATAGGGAGCTCCACCGAAGGCCCCAGTGCCCGCGGCCGCATGCGTCACCCACACCCATTTCGGCACACCCCTCACACGTTTCGTGGCTCCATAGGGAGCTCCACCGAAGGCCCCAGTGCCCGCGCCCGCATGCGTCACCCACACCCATTTCGGCACACCCCTCACACGTTTCGTGGCTCCATAGGGAGCTCCACCGAAGGCCCCAGTGCCCGCGGCCGCATGCGTCACCCACACCCATTTCGGCACACCCCTCACACGTTTCGTGGCTCCATAGGGAGCTCCACCGAAGGCCCCAGTGCCCGCGGCCGCATGCGTCACCCACACCCATTTCGGCACACCCCTCACACGTTTCGTGGCTCCATAGGGAGCTCCACCGAAGGCCTCAGTGCCGCCGCCCGCATGCGTCACCCCCACCCTTTTCGGCACCCCCATGCGTCACCCACACCCATTTCGGCACACCCCTCACACGTTTCGTGGCTCCATAGGGAGCTCCACCGAACGCCCCAGTGCCCGCGCCCGCATGCGTCACCCACACCCATTTCGGCACACCCCTCACACGTTTCGTGGCTCCATAGGGAGCTCCACCGAAGGCCCCAGTGCCCGCGGCCGCATGCGTCCCCCACACCCATTTCGGAACACCCCTCACACGTTTCGTGGCTCCATAGGGAGCTCCACCGAAGGCCCCAGTGCCCGCGGCCGCATGCGTCACCCCCACCCATTTCGGCACACCCCCCGCATTTCTCGCACGGCAGGGTCATCACCACGGTGGCGTGCCAGGGGCGCACCATGCGCGAAGGCGACGGGGCGGGGGAACGGCGCTCCGGGGGCGGCCAGACCTCCGGGGCGCGAGCCGGCCAGACCATCTCTCGGTCCTGTGGACTCTCGCCCTGGGCCGTCGGCTGCCCGGCGCGCTGCTCCCTCGGTCGACGTCGCCAGGCGTGATCCTGGATTGCGGCCGCCACGAGGTAGGGAACGGCAAGAAGGAGGACGACGACTGGTGGCTGGAGCTCTACGTGCTGCTCTCGCGCGCACGCGCCACGAGGACCTCCTGCTCATGCGGGCGCCGCGCATCGAGTTCTTCCTGGCAGGGCCGCCGCAGGGCTTGCGGAAGCAGCTGGAGCAGTTTGCGGAGCGCACGAAGCGGTGCAGGAGGGAAGCGACGGCCCTCGCCAGGGAGCTCGGCTTCACCGAGTTCATCCGCGAGGCCTGACCTGAGGAGCGTCTCCCCCGAGCCGCGCATTCTCTCGACTGCCCGACTAATTGTTTGGCCTCGCGCCGCGGACGACCCGCGCGCGTCGCTGGGACCTTCTCGGGGCGACCAGCGCGCGTCGCGGGAACTCCGTGCTGCGGGGGGCCCGGCGCCTCGTTCGCCCGTCGTCGCTCTGCCCAGCGGTCAGAGACTTGCCCGCTATCAGCCAGCCAGTTAGATAGTCAGCTCTCTCTGCTTCGCGCAGCGGACGACCCGCGCGCGTCGCTGGGGCCCCGCCCGGGGCGACCAGCGCGCGTCGCGGGGACTCCGCGCTGCGCTGCGCCCGCAGCCTCGGATTTTGGAGTGCGCGGGCAAAGAGGAAGGAAAAGAAGAGCCGAAAGCGGGCGCGATCCTCGCAAGAGGCGTGCCGACATGGGCGTCGCGACGTGCGGACGCTGCCGTCGGGGTTCCCGCGGAAGCTGCCTGCGGCGGCCACGCCCAGTGTCACGTGTGTTCGGACAGGCATGCTCGACACTAACACTAGGCGGTTCCATGATCGCATTCATGCAAATATATTCACTCGCGCGCAGACCCATTCAGACTCAGATTCCCTCGCGCTCTGACTCACCCGCGTTCTTTTTCTCGTAATCAGATCTATCGTATTCCTTTGCGTTGTGTACCCCGCCACATTTCGGCACACCCCTCATGCGGTTCGTGGCCCCATAGGGAGCGCCACCGAAGAAGATACTCACAATTGCGATACTCACAACTGCATATGGTTGGGTCCTTCGCCAGGATAATTTTTTGAGGGCGAATCCCAAGGTTGTCATCGCCTTTTGGCGTGTCAATCTTAGGGATAGGGGTACGTTCGAGGTCGGTAATGTGTCTCGCGACTCAGCACGAACGACATGGGTACGGAAAAGTGGGTACAATGCTCAACAGCAGTTCCTGTTCATTTGAACAGGACTCGCTGTCCGCGCCGCCGCGGCCTGTCTCCATTCGAGACAGAAGGCCGCCTGCTAACCAGCGGCCGCTATTGGTTTGGGACAACATGTGTTGTTGGGCATTGTATCGTTTCTTCCGTACCTCGTTCGGGCGTCCAAAGCGAAGCGACCCATGCCTCTTAAATTCCTGTGGCAATATGGCCCTCGGAAGGGTCTTGTGTCCTTTCGCGCGTCCTGTCCAAGCAAGTCCGACTGCAGATTGGGTCGGGGCAAACGGGGTCGGATGATCGCGCCGCATCGCCGATGCACCGACGATGCATCGCTCGATGTGGAGCCCGATGTTCTGCACGACGACGTCGCCGATGCATCGCCGACGTCGGCGATGTATCGCCGGTGCATCGCCGATGCATCGCCGATGTATCGGCGACGCGGCGCGATCCTCCGACCCCGTCTAGGGGGCCTCTAGAGGCGGGCGCCCGGGGGGGAAGGGTCCACTGCCGCTGCCGCTCCCGCGTCGCCACGGCGGGGCTCGCCTGGAAAACCTGGTCAGCCACCCCATCGTCGCCACGGCTGGATTTGTCTCGAAATCCAGTCAGGGCGCACCCCTGGAGACGTCGGATAGCGGTATCGGTAAATAGTGATGTTGCTCCCTAGTGTCTCGGAGTTTTGCATTCTGGCCGCTCTCCTCCTTCCCCTGATTCGGTTTGGTGCGCAGTGAGCTCTGCCGCACCCAGGCTGAGGCTTTCCGATGCGTCGTCCCTCTTGTCGCCGCTGACAGGACAGCTTCGGAGTTCTTGGCTTCTCGCAAGTCCCCGCCGGCCCTTCAGAGGCGATCCCCGGGCGAGTCGCGGCGAGAGGGGCCGCGGGGGAGTTGTTGCGAGGAAGGAAGAGAGGAAGAGGGGCACTGTTCAATCCGAGCGAGAAGGGCCTGAACCCGAGCAGCATGTCAGGAAACGCATCGCGACAGCTGATCCACCGCCTGTTTCCTGAACCGAGGCCCGATGGTGGGAGGGCGGGGGTACATGGAGGGGTGAGGGAGGACAGGGCTGAGGAGAAGCAGGGGGGATGGGGGAGGAGGAGCAGCAGGGGGGAGGGAGGAGGAGGGAGGAGGGAGGAGGGAGGTGGGCTCAGGAGAAGCGGGGGGGAGGAGGGGTTGGAGGGCCGAGGAGAAACATGGAGGGGAGGAGGATGAGGAGGGACGAGGTGGCAGGAGGAGGACAGACGAACGAGCTGGAATTCCGATGTCAGGCATTTGCTCGGGGCGTTGGTTCCCGGATCTCTCGACCCCGCCCCCTGGGCCGGCGGTCCACCCGCTGCTCTCTGATCGTGAGCGGCCCCGGGCACCGCAAACAGCAAGACCTCAGGGGGGGGAAAAACACACATACACAATTAGTCGTCGACTCCCAGGAAAATATGGGTATATATATGTATTATCTATATTTATTTATAATATATATATTATAATTATTTATATATATATATATATATATACCATTGCGAAGTGGGGGGGAAGACAAAAACCCAGCAAATAAGGGACAAATATTGGGAATCCTCTTATTTGTGTGTATTAATTTGTGTGTCCTTCGGCCCCTTCAATCTCCAGTGCGAAGTGTGTCGAGTTGCCAAAAAGGTACGG